AAAAAAAAAAAAAAAAAAAAAAAAACATGTTTTCTCTGGCTCTAACCCCTTCAGCCAATACAGCCCTGTTCCAATTCTCTCTTCTGCTCCTGACCTAGAAGTCTGCCTTTAAAAATAAATAAATAAAAAGTAACTTGGAATTATGCAATTAGATTCCTCCACCGCCCTTCAGCGCAGTGCTAACTCCACAGCAGTGCAGACCACCTCTTCCTGGTTGTACACGGAGCCTTTGAACATGGCAAGGTAGAAACTTAAAAGTGTTTGTGGCTGATTGAAGGGATGCGTAAAGGCTGTGTTCCAGAAACTGGGATAACCATTTAGTCTTCTGCCCTATGATTTCATTAACAAATTTCTTTTTTCTCTTTTAGCAATCACAAAATAATTCTTTGCCTTTTATTCATGCATTAGATTAAAAAACAAATTAGGGAGAAAAAAGGAAGAGACTAGTCCTCTCATAATGGCCAAAGCAAGGTGAGTCACCTTGGAATGCTCTATGACAGTCCACCCCTTTATTTGTTTTGACCACTGAGCACCTTGTTTCAAAATGGTGCCATATTCAGCAACAGTCTGCTCTAAGAGGGAAGACAGCTGTCACATTTTGGTGGGAGGCTGGTGAGAGTAACGTGGTGAGTGTGTGAATCTTCAGGAGGAGGAGGAGAGCTGGCCACTGATGCCACCTGAGGAAAGCCCCATGCTTACCTTATGCCCTGTTACCCCCAACAGCTCAGCCCCTGGGAGGCCGCCCTCACCCATTACACAGAAGTGGAAGGTGAGGACAGGACTTTAGGTGCTTTACTGGCAACACCCAATTACCAGGCATCAAAAGCTTCAGGCCTGGGGTTTCCTTGTTAGTAAAAAGAGGATAGTGAGACTTGTTCCTGAGACCACTTAGAAAATGAAACAAATCGACAAGAAATAGCAAACAGCCATAGACATCTACAGGGCCATCAAGGGGGCCGTTCCATTGGCACAGCACCCAGTGCCCTCACCAGAGTTCTCTGTGGAACTGAGTCACAGCCATTCCATAATGTCACACTCATTCCAAGCACTGAGGTGCTAGGTGGGAGGAATGAGGTCAGAGGCAGACATGTCAGTCCTCGAGTTGTAGACTAAGTCAATGGAGAAGCCAGGCTAGATAGGTCCCTAGACACCAACTACATAAGCTAAGGAGGAAAGGTGCCATTGGCCCAAATGCCCCCCACCTGCCTGCCTACTGGCAGCTGCCCTGCCAGGGTGTAACCAAGAGAGCAGAACCTACAACATGGCATGCGCCAGCAGGTGGACACGGCCCTTGTCTGGCTGCGCACCTCTGACCTGGCTTACTCTTTCCAATCACTTAAGCAATGGTGATTCTGATTTCCACCTCAAGGGTTAAGGCTCTAGCTCTGTAAACTACAACCTACAGCTCTGTAACCTGGGAGAGGGAAAATGACCAATTCACCCCTTAATTTTGATTACTCTCACAATCCTGGAAGATGGAGACCTTTATTGCTCCTATTCAAGCTTGAAAATAATTACTGGGACTCACTCCTAGCTGCAAAAGCTACTTAAATGAATCCACAATGCCTTGAATACAATCATGACACTGAAAAAGGCCACAGTTCTTACCTCCATCAGTGGCCTTGATGGTGGCAGAATCAAATGAAGTGCTCCCACCTTAGAGGCAAAAATCCCACTTCATTAGCTCATAGTCTGAACATGTTAAAAAGCCCAGTGGTTTGCAATGAGAGATAATTCTTCCTCTTGAGTGTGCCAGTTGGGATTTGTCCAGTTAGACAATGCTGACAGATATGAAGGAAGAGAAATCTGCACATTCCGTCAGATTCTAGAATCCTAAAATTTCCACTATGGGACTGTGAACATCCTCAGAAATACAAAGGGAAGTGTCCACAAAGGGACTGTTTCACCCATTTTATTTGGACAGCAAATCTTGCTTTGAAATTGTGGATCTTTAAAAGGGGAGCATTTTAATTAATTAATTAATTAATTAATAGGGGAGTTTTTTCCCCCCATGCATGGTAAATAGAGGTTATCATTTAAAAAATATGATCTACATCGAAGGGAGGCTGTGTTACACACACCCATTTGATCACATATTTGAAGTAACATTTCCTCTGGCTTGTAAATTAATTACAGGGCAGTAATGGCACAAGCTTGCTTAGGCAGCAGCTTTAATAAAAGGGAAAATCTTGAGTGGCTGTCCATTATATAGTCATTTCACAGACAGAAAGAATAATCACATGCAGTATTCATCTAAGCTTTGAGGCTAAAAGACAATTTAAAAATGGCTGCCTAGTATCACTGGCAACAGTAGATCTTAGTAAGCCAAGGGTCAGGCAGCACTGCTATTCCGTCACTTATCCAGGTCCTGAGCACCTTCCACCTTCCAATGAGGAGAAGATAACGGCCGTGATGGGGCTGGACCAGGGCCACAGTGTGAGGCTCCTTCTGCGGCTGCCAAGGAGACTGACAACTTTACAGTCACTAGTGAAAATGACAGAATGCTTCCAAGCAGCAGGCTGAGCCTTTTCTGTTTGTGTTTTGTTTAAAACCTAGCCTAAAAGCCTCCACTGGGTGTGATGCAGGGTGGCCTTCGCTTTATCATTCTTCTTGAGTCTTCTTGGAGGTTCAACAAAATGTATCAGCCCCCAAAGCTGCTGTAACAAGTTACCACAAATCACTTGACGACAGAAGAGTATTCTCTCATAGTTTGGAGTCTGAGAAGTCCAAATCCAAGGGCTTGGCCAGGCTGATTTTCCCCAGAGGCTCTGAAGGGGAGCTTCTGTCATGCCTCTCTCGGACCTTCTGGCGCGCTCTGGCGGCACTTGATCTTGCTAGGCTTGTAGACTCAACACGGCTCCCTACCTCCATCTCCATGCAGCCTCTTTCCTTGTGTCTCTGGGTTAAATCTCCAATTCCTTTCTTTCACAAGGCCAGTCATTGGATTTAGTGTCCACTCTAAATTCAAAACGGCCACATCACAAGGTCCTTAAATAAAAATGCTACTTCCAAATAAGGTTACACTGGGGGGTATTGGAAATCAAATCGGGGCCGTATCTTTCTGAGGGGATGTACTATTCAGTGTAGTACACATGCTCTGTTAATTGTTCTACACAATGTACTCATATTCCATGGTCTACAAAGATTCTTTCTAAAAATCCTAGTGTAACATGTGCAGGAACTTTTCCTACTGGAAAAAGGCCTTCACTGCTTTCTTCTTTATGGGACTAATTCAGATTTGCACATTGGCATTATATTTTTATGACCTCTGTCAATGGGTCCTTTCTATAATGTATTTAAATGGATCAACATATTTTCCTTAATGTCTAGTGTAAGTGTTCTGCCTAGCATTCACTGTTAAATAAATCGACCTCCAGGGTAATAGTGATTTTTGCCACTCGCCTGCAGCATCCACATTAACCTCCTATGCATCTTGGTCAATGTGAAGCACAGGAAGCCATCCTGCCTCCTCTTCCTTCTGAGATACAAGAATTAACCAGCTGTTTAGCTTTTACTAAAACAGACTACTAACAGATGTTTGGAGAATAGGAGTCCCACACCACCTTTGTGACACATTTACAATTCGTATTTGAAGAGCTTCTTACACACCCATGGTCTGTCTTTGTAATGTATCTCATAACCACACAACAAATAGCTTTTGTAGTTGCCTTGTTTTATTTTCATGCAGGTAGCTCCTCTCTTCTGAGCTTTACCCTGTGGTGAGCATCCTGGTTTGTGCACTCTCGGGGCCAGGAGGCTAATATTCTCTGCTCCCTTACTTAGTTCAGTGTCTCTGGATGAGGTAGTCCCTTGGGTCACTGTACTTCAGTCATAAATTCCCTCATCCTGCATTCTGCCTGACGTGGTCAGGCCCTGTGGGGTGAAAGCAAAGGTACGGGCACAAAGCACTTAGCACAGCCGTGGGCTCCTGCAAGCAGATTCACAAGTAGTGCCTGTTATTCTGTTTGTTAGAAGAGGAAGGGAGGGAGGGAGGCAGGCAGGCAGGCAAAGCAAAGCAAAGCAAAGCAAAGTGAAATCCTAAGAAGAGTCCCCACTGATCATTCCTATTTTCTTCATAAAGTATTGCTGGGCAATATCACAATAGAACAGAGTAATTGAAAACATCATACACAGTATGATATATACAGCACAATTTGTCATAGCTAAATCTTAGAAACAACCCAAATGCCAGCCAACTGAGGATTGGATAAAAAAGATGTGGTGGTTTTATACAATGGAATATTACTCAGCTATAAACAAAGATAAACGAGGCTTTTATGGGTAAATGAATACAACTAGGGAAGATATAAATGATATAAATCAGATCTGCATGTATAAACATAATGTCAACTTCCTAGTTTTAAGAAACTGAAAGAGTAAATAAAACCTGAAAGGTAAAATAGATATTGTGAAAGGGAAAGAAACTGCTGAAAAGGAAAGAATAGCTGGAGTGGAGGAAAGGAGAAAAGAAAGAAGAAAGAGGAAATATATATTACATATTACATATATTATATGTTTACAAAACACAAGTATATGAAACACATTATATATACACGAGATAGCTTCCATAATTGTACAACTAAC